GACGATATATATGAATGTATATATGATTGTATAGATTAAGTTAATTAGATTTAAGTTATAGGATTAAGATATAGGTTAAGGTAGAATGTAAATGGAGGTATAAAGGTTTGGGACCGCTCTTTTAAACAAGAAAAAAGCGCCTTGTAATCTCTAGTTGAAGAAACAATAAACATATCTATCTATCTATCTATCTATTATTCCAATTTTATAGCATAATGGGTGGTTTGAATAAAATGATAAAATTCTTCCTGAGAAGATTTCTTTTAGATACCAGTCAATGTATATTGTGTTACGAAAGTCACTATTTATATTTCGGGAATTGGCAACACTGATGTCATGTGAGTCTATCTGACGGTTCCATCGTAAAGTTTGACATTTTTGACGATATACGTACTCAGAACATTTTGTCATACGGACGCTATTTGTTTATTTTATATTTAGTTGAAAGTTTGTCTCGGCAAAAAATGGAACTGAATCGTGAACATTTTCGTGCGATGATTTTTTACGACTTTCGACGTGGATTATCACAACAAGAGTGCGTCAATCAACTTAATTTGACTTTTGGCGATGAAGCTCCATCAAAAACCACTGTGTATCGCTGGTATAGTGAATTCAATCGTGGTCGTAGTTCGCTGTTCGACGAGTTTCGTGAAGGTCGTCCAAAATCGACTGTAGTGCCAGAAAACATCGATGCTGTGCACGAAATGATTAAGCAAGATCGTCATGTAACCTATTGTGAGATTGAGGCATCCCTAAGCATTAGTTCCACCAGCATATATGCGATTTTACATAAACACTTAGCTGTGCGAAAATTATGTTCGCGTTGGATCCCACATAATTTGACAATCGCTCAAAAAAAGGCTCGTGTCGATTGGCGCAAAGAAATGCTTAAGAAATACAATCGCGGTGCTTCAAAAGACGTTTATAAAATCGTGACAGGTGACGAATCATGGATATATTCGTATGAGCCCGAAAGTAAGCAGCAGTCGACTGTATGGGTGTTCCAAGATGAACCAAATCCAACAAAAGTTGTTCGCGCACGAAGCAATTCAAAGAAAATGGTGCCTGTTTCTTCGGAAAAACTGGTCATATTGCAACAGTGCCTCTAGAGGATCGTAGAACAGTAAATTCTGAGTGGTACACAACCATCTGTTTGCCAGAAATCTTCGGTGAAATAAGGAAAACAAACAAGAGACGTCGGATTGTTTTTCATCATGACAATGCGAGCTCTCACACATCGGCTCAAACAAGAGACTATTTGAGCACTCAAAACATCGAATTGATGGGTCATCCGCCGTACAGCCCTGATTTGGCACCCAATGATTTCTTTTTGTTCCCATCTGTGAAGAATAAACTGCGTGGTCAACGATTTTCATCGCCCGAAGAAGCTATTGAAGCGTTCAAAAATCATATTTTGGAGATACCTCATTCGGAATAGAAATGCTTTGAAAATTGGTTTAAGCGCATGCAAAAGTGTATCGATCATCGTGGCGAGTACTTTGAAAAACAATAAAAATATATTCGCAACTTAACTATTTGTTTTTGTTCCTATTCCCGAAATATAAATAGTGACTCTCGTATTAATAATTTTAAGTAATAAATCTAAGAAATTCAAGCTACGATTAACCTCTTGTTCCACCGTGAATTTAAGTCTATCATGATAATTATTAGAATTATTAACTATCTGAGTCATATTAGTCATAGAAGTGGCCAGTATTATGTCATCTACATAACGGAAATAAAACAAACATTTTAAATTTAACGTTTTAAGAACTGTATCCTCAAGATCATGCATAACCAAGTCAGCTATAATTGGTGATAAGGAAGACCCCATAGAGGTCCCAAAGTCTGTTTGTAAATTGTCATTAAATGTAAAATAAGTAAAAGTCAATATAAATTTTATACCACGTAAAAATTTGCTTTTCGGTATTGTAGTATTTATTTCAATGTGATCTTGTGCACAACGGATAGCGGGAAAGGAAGATCGGAAGCGAGACTAAAGATAGGCACTACACACTACTCGACACACACGCGTATCGTTAATAAAAATATATTTCAACTATTAACAAAAAATACAATTGTTTAACCGCACATAATTTACCAAAAGATAGCCGAGTCGAACGTATTAGAAATGAATGCAATAAACGAGAGAAAAGCCGGGTCAAAAATAAATTACTGAATGTTCCGCAAGCAACGGTAATTAGACGAGAAAACCGAAAAAGACAAGCGATTTTTTTCGGAAAGTAGAAGCACACTCTATTCGCGACGAGCAATCGAAAAGAGCCCCGCGGTCACGAGAGAGGAGGTTTATATAGGCCTGTATTTCGAGAACCTTCGCGAACATTTTTCCTTGTTCGATCGAGATGTTAAGGGCGAAAGGATGTTTACGATAATTATTTATTTTTTAGCAAGTCTTATTTTGTTGTTATTGGCACTTGGTTTTTCTCCTCTCGCGCGACCGCGATGTTTACGATTTAAATGAAAGTTAACGCAAGCGCTTCTTTTTTGCAGGCGCGAGGTATATGTAAACGTTTCGATTGTACGACAGTCTTTTTCAATATCATGCTAATATGTCAATGAATTTAGTTTAGTCATATCGACCTTATTATAAATACAACATTTATGAGATTATCATATGACGAACGCAGTACAAAATTCATGTTTGTTGGCTTGAGTTAGAGCGTCAGATTTATGTATGCCATGCTGTTATATTATGTAACGACACTGTGAACAAATTAATATATCCGCTCAAATATTACATTTTAGATTTTTAATAAATAGTATTAACTTACTTTTTTGTCACGAACATAACACTTTTTTTAAAAAATTATTTCTTTTTACATAACATAATCACAATGTGTACTTTTTTAAAAAACAAATCGATATTGTATCTCACAATGTCGGCGCGCTGTATATATACCCAATTTTTAAGATGACGTAGACAATTTTTTTAAAATATCAAAATAAGAACCGTCAAGACGCTCGGTGTCCTTTTTTAGGTTGATACTGTTGTTTTCTTCTTTAATATATATCATTTCTGATATCAACCTTTTATAATAATTCTTTTCATAATCTAGGATTTTTGTGTCGTTCCAATTGAAATTGTGTGTAAATTTTACAATATGATCAGAAACCACCGAGTGCCTTGCAGAATCTAATCTAATATTATTTTTATGTTTATTTACTCTTGTACCTAATTGTCTTTTCGTCTGTCCTACATATGTAGCATCACAATTATTACACGATATCTTATATATGACCCCCGAATTATTTTGGAGCTTATCCCTGTCTTTTTGCGTTTTTATGACTCTGTTTAATTTCTTTAGACATCTGTATCCTACTGTTATATTTGATTTCTTTAATTCTGATGCTACTAGTTCCGAGATTCTTTCAATATATGGTATCGCTATGAATTTTTATTTTGTCGTTATTTATGATTTCGTTATTTATATCTTGAGTCATTTCTTTGTTTAATCTATTAACAATAAGGAACTTCAGTCTATTATTGATTTCTGAGAAAATGAGATCAAGAGGATAACTATTGCTCAATAAAATCTCTATGATTAATGTTAAATTTTTACTATGAAAACGGGGATGTGATAATAATATTGACCAGTCTACTAAATTATATATTACACTTTTTTTGTGGCATAATTTGGGATAATTTGAATGATATGAGAGTGTTCTACCCGAAAATGTTTTTTTCTGAAATTAATCTATATATATTTATATGTTATTTATAATTTTGAGTGAGATATCTAAAAAACTTATGCTACGGTTATCCTCTCTTTCTATTGTAAATTTTAATCTATCGTGACAATCATTAAATTTTTCTACTAAATATGTGACTTGATCTTCCGGCAAGCAAAGCAAGATATCATCGACGTAGCGATAGTAAAACCTTATATTAACATTTATAGTTTCAAGAATCCTAGTTTCTATATCTTGCATGACAATATCCGCAATAATTGGAGATAAAGGCGATCCCATAGGAGTTCCATGTATTTGTTTATAGATTGTTTTGTTGAATGTGAAGTACGTTGAAGTCAAAATGAATTTAATTACATTAACAAACTCAATTTTGTCTATTGATGTGTGGTTTTCAATGTAATGCCATCTATTATTTATGCTGTCTATTGCAAGGTCCAAAGGAACATTTGTGAACAACGATATCACATCCAAAGATACGATTGTTTCATTATTATTTAATTTAAGATCAGACAATGCGTTGCACAATTCAAAACTATTATTAACATGACTTTTCCCTTTGGGTAAACTTGTCACTAAAATGTTGTGTAAATATGCAGTTAAATGATGTAGTGCTGTATTGACCGACGATACTATTACTCTGAATGGAACATTTTCCTTGTGAATTTTGGGCAAGCCATATGCTTTAAGAAGCACTGAATCACTGGAACTTAAACAATAATAGTCTTTTTTTGTGATCTATTCATTTTTTAACCATTGTTATAAATTTTTATTAAGGTCTTTTTCTATTTTTATTATTGGATTGTTTTTGATTGTCATATAATTATCTTTGTCATTTAATAATTCTTCAACTTTGTCTATATAAAATTCTTTGGTCATCGATTTCCCTTGTCTGATCTTGTGAAAATGATGCTGGGATTTTGTTTACAAAATGTCATGGTTTTTTTGTACATAAAAGTAAGTTTGTCATTTATTATGTCTTTCCTAGTATTGTTGTTTAAAAAAACAAAGAACTGTGGAATAGCTATGTTTCTTATTGTCGTGAGATTAGTTATGTTATTCGAATTGCTTTCTATGTCTTTAATAATTTATGGACAGCTGTTTTTTTATCAGTATTAATTGGAAGGCTAAAATCACTACCTAATTGCAATAAATTTGTGACATCAGTTGGAATATCTACATCAGTCAAATTAATAAACCATTTATCATTGGTTTTTAAAGTAGGCTAATTGCTTACGACGTGTGATTTCGATTCGAGTGAGGTTTCGGTGCCGTCGGTCAAAAATACTAACTTGCTTACGGGTCGCGTCAAATTAGTATTTGCGGTACGTAGTTCGACCACGCGCACGTGGCCGTCGGATCCCGGGTGCAATCGCGTGATGCGCGCGAGCGGCCACCTCGTTGGTGGAGTATTCTCGCTTCGAAGCAAACACAGCCGACCGATGCAAGCCTCCTGATTGACTCGGGACCATTTTGGCCAGTGGGCCAGCGTATGTAAGTACTCGCTGGACCACCGGGACCAAAAATGGTCCCTCATCTGTTGCAGGAGCTGCCAGCAAGATAATCGGGCCGAAGGTTTTCTCTCGAGCGACGGTTCCGGTACGGCGGAGAGAGCGGAACCGATTAGGAAGTGTCCCGGGGTGAGAGCCGCTACGTCTTCAGGATCATCGGACAGGGGCTGCAGCGGTCGAGAATTGAGGCAAGCCTCAATCTGTGAGAGCAGCGTCGCCATCTCCTCATAGGTGAGATGGGCATCACCTATTACTCGTCGCAGATGGTGTTTCATGGACTTCACCGCGGCTTCCCACAAACCGCCGAAGTTCGGTGCCGCCGGTGGATTAAAATGCCACCGGATTTTCTCCTGTGCGGTGAATGCGGCGATGCGGCGTCCGTCGGCACTGGCAGCGGAGAAGAGAGCGCCTAGCTGCCTGTCAGCACCCACGAAATTGGTTCCGCAGTCGCTGTACAATGAGATGCAGACCCCACGCCTGGAGATCAGCCGGCACAAGGCCGCGATGAAGGCGTCGGCGGAGTAATCCGAGGCTACGTCGAGGTAAACGATTCTAGAGGCTAAACAGACAAAAACGACAATGAAACCTTTCGTTGCCTTGTGTCCGCGACCCTTAGAGGTTCTCATCCAAACTGGTCCGGCGTAGTCGATGCCGGTGTGGAGAAACGGCCTGCTTGGTTTGACCCTTGGCTCCGGGAGGTCGCCCATGAGAGGCTGTGGGATGGCGGCTCGCCATCTTATGCACCTGACACATCGGCTGATGCGTCTCTTTACCAGCGAGCGACCTCGAGGAACCCAATATTCCTGACGTAAAGAGCACAAGGTCAGCTGCGTCCCGCTGTGTAGAGTCCGCTGGTGGTGGTCATCGACGACGAGGTTAGTGAATGTAGACTCGCTGGGCAGTATTAGCGGATGAGTGGCATCATACGGCAGGTCAGCGTTGCTGAGGCGCCCGCCGACGCGTAGAAGTCCCTCGCTGTCCAGAAATGGATTTAGTTTTAGCAGGGCGCTTCGCGACGGCAGCGGCGTTCCATTTCGCAACCGTCTAATCTCTTCTTTAAACTTTCCAGCCTGGATCAATCTCACCCAGGAGAGGCGGGCTTCCGTCAGGTCGTCGGCGCTGATTACGTTAGACTGGCTTTGAGTGTGACAAAGCTGGCGGTGGATCAGCCACCAGCGACGGCACCATGCAGTGATCCGCAGCAGTCTGGTCAGAGAAGAATAGCGCAGCAGCAATTCTGACTCGGGTTCCAGCTCGGCAACGGCGGCGGCGTGGGCCCGGACTCGTCTCTCTGGGAGGTCCTCCGCTGGAATCTCCTCTCCATTGTTTATTCACGGGCTGCTCTCCGTTGCTAACCATTCCGGACCTTGTCACCAGAGCGGGTGGTCAACCAGCTCACCAGGATATAGTCCCCGAGAAGCACAGTCCGCTGGATTTTCTCGTCCTGGTACGTGATGCCAGTGGGCATCAGGGATCAGCGTTTGTATCTCGCTGACCCTTTGGCCACATAGGTGGCCCACGTCGATGGATGTCCTCGGATCCAGCCGAGCGTGACTGTGGAATCCGACCATGTGAAGAGGTGCCCTTTCAGCTCCAATGATCGGCAAGGTGTGGGCGACGAGACGAGCCAGAAGAGTCGCTGCAGATAGCTCCAGTCGAGGTAATGATACCTGCTTCAATGGCGCGACCTTGGTTTTGGCGGCTAAGAGAGTCACCTTAGTAATGCCCTTTGTTTTGCTCTTCAGGTAGATCACTGCGGAGTAGGCACGCTCGGAGGCATCGGCGAATCCGTGGATTTCCAGCATTGATTCAGTCACACCTCCCAGCCATCGAGGTACGATCACTTTTTCCAGAGCTGGCAGCTCGCTCTGGAATCGCAACCATCTTCTCGCTTCGTCGGTAGGTAGCGAAGCGTCCCAATCCAGACCTAGCAACCAGATAGACTGGATGAAGATTTCTGCTAATATCGTTGTTGGTGCCAGCCAGCCAAGAAAGTCGAACATTTTCGCTGTCAACAAAAGTACCGACCGTTTGCTGAAGGTCGATAGTGTGATCGCTTTGGTAGCGAATGCGAAGAGATCGTCACGTGGTTGCCATCTTAGACCGAGAATAGAGTGACTCTCGCCGGGCAGCCACCATCTAGCCTTTTGTTGAAGACGGTCGTCGGGCTCCACTTGGTTTAGCAACAGCGAATGGTTTGCCGACCATTTCTTAAGCGAGAAGCCGCCCGCCCTGCAGATCTCCATCAGCTGTTGGATCATGACCTCGGCTTCTTTCATGGTCTCCGCGCCTGCCAGGATGTCGTCCATGTAGACGTCGCTCAGCAGGATGAGAGCTCCCTTCGGGTAGCGATGTCCCTCATCCTCGGCAAGTTGGCGCAAAGTACGGATCGCCAGATAAGCAGCACAGGAAAGTCCGTAAGTAACGGTACTTAGCCAGTACTCCTTGACTTCGTCGTTGCTGCTCTCTCTCCATAATATCCTTTGCAGACTTTGTTCGTCGGGGTGCACAAGGATCTGCCTTTTTTTTTTTTTGTTACTTTGGGGAAACCTCATGGTACCATCCGCCTCCGGGTAGAGGCGGGGGTTATGTGGGACTCCCTGCCCCGCCTGGCCGGCCCGCACCTCCGCCTGGCCGGTCCGCCGTAGCGGGCCGGAGAGTCGGGATCGGCGAACCGGAGAACCGGGACAGGACCTACCGCACTAAAACCCCAGAGGATGTCCTTCACGGGCGTTATACAGGGGACGGCCAGGATGCTGGTATCCCATGCCGACTGGCCGCCCCCCCGCCTTATCCCTCCTGGGAGGATGCCGCGGAAGGCGACACCCTCCCCCCGTCATTGTACGGGTTCCTCGCGGTTGCGGCGCAGGGCGACACCGACCCCACGCCGCGCCCTCTCAAAGAGTTTGAGGGGCGGAGCCATGGCTCGAGAACTCCCGCTCGAGCCATCGCCCCTCGCCCCCCCAGTGTCGCAACCCCCGGACCCCCAAGAGGGTGGCCCGGTTCGGCGGTTCACTGAGGGGGCCCTCATCAGGAGGCTTCTCTCAGAAAGAGAGAAACCCCCTTCCGTGGACGGTGTTGCCCTCCCACCGGTGCCTTATGGCTCCCGGTGAGAGGGCCCCCACACGTCACGTCTCCGTCCTTGAGAGGGGCCCAGGCGCCCCAAACGGGAGAGCAATGCCCGCCCGCCAGGGACACGTGGCCCCCCATTTCTGACCCCTCCGGTTGCGACCTCCCTCCGCCCCGTTAGGGGTCAGAGTTCACCCGCAACCGGTGGGGCCCTTCCCTCCCGGAGGGTGTGGGGGGGGGGGGAACGCCTAAGCGCTCCCATGTCTCCCCGACACCCTCATCTGGCTCGATCGTCGACGCCGGTATGTGGCGGGCTCCCCGACCCTCACCGCCGCGACCAGCTGCGCCCGTGGGCGCGACCGCCATCGACGGAAGGGAGCGGGAC